GCCACGATTTTGCACCTCGCATCCAGTTTGTTCTTTCACTCCCTTCGTTCACATCTCTCTCTCTCTCTCTCTCTCTCTCTCTCTCTCTCTCTCTCTCTCTCTCTCTCTCTCTCTCKCTCTCTGTTTCTGCCATAACACATGATACTAATGGAAAGAACCATTGCCTTTTTTGGACTGATGCCCGAGCTGGCAAAGACATAAATGATATTTGTCTTTCTGTCGTTCAATTTTCCAGATATCAAGCAAGTATACGAACCCGGCAACATCGAGTAGTGCAAACGCGGGCAGAATGACTGCGACCCCGTGCAATGTGGTTAGGGCCCAGGATAGAGCAAGAGCCATGATAGATGGGTGCTGGGCGGACATTGCTCAGAGGCAGCAGGAACACATAGATAAACTGACGGCCGAACTGCGTGAGGAGAAAGAGTTGGGTAGACAGATGACAGCGTTGATTGACCGTTATGCGAAGGAAGTTTCGTTGTTGAAGGAAAACTTGGATCACGCCTGGTGCAGCGTGTTGTGGTTGTTTGACGGTTTGGATCGATATCACAAAGAGAGAAATATTTTGAGGCACGGGGTTGAAGACCTAGAATCGATCTTGAAAGAGGCAGAAATTGCGTTCACGCCTGTTGATATTCGCATAAATAGACGGAGACGTCTGCCGCGAGAAATCCCCCGACATGTCCCTCATCAGTGGGATGTGAAGTGTTGTCCACCAGGAGAACAATGTGTGTTGAGACAAGGATGGGCGTGCTACGATAGCCAGAAAGACGGGTGCGGCGACGAGTCTGCTCCGTTGAACGCACACGTTGACCTTCTGTCCTTTTAAGAGGACTGCATCAAACATTGTGTAGAAACTATCAATTACTACACTTGTCTCAAATATCAGGCCGACATTGATCTTGAATGGCAGAACGCTTTGACTCCCCCCAATATATGGGCTCTGCTCAGCAGCTGCACAGATGTCATGGACAGTCTGAAGCACACACGTGCGTCGTTCTCGTGAGGACACCGAATGTGGCTGGAAGGGGAGGGATGTGGCAAGGAAAACAATGACACCGGCGGAGAGACGCGATATGTGAAGGAGGACGACACGACGGACCGTGCGGACGGCTGCGAAGCAGCACGATCGCAATGCGTAGCAAGTCACATGCTGCTTTCGTGCCACGATTTCGAAAGTTTTAAACAATACAAAACCCGGCACAATTTCCCATGTGTGTTCGCCAGCAGCGTGCTGCACGAACACGTAGGGTCCTCTGGCGTCTTTAGTCCGATGACGAGTGACAACTTTCGGGCTTTTGTGGAATCAGCGAACAAGCGACAGATGACACGGCTTGCAACGGATTGTATATGTCACCTCGTCTCAATAATGACGGAGGTCATGTAGCATGTCATCAGCAATGCAGGCGCGGGGTGTGCGAGCAACGATTGCAGGCGATGCAAACATGCGTTTCGAGTTGACGACTGTTTGCGAACTTTGATAAAGAGGTGCAAGATTGTAGCAGCGCGTGTTCTGAAGGACGGGAGAGAAATGTGATGTCCACCTCCTTCTTTCTCTCTCTCTCTATCTCTATCTCCCTCTCTCCCTCTGTCTCTTTCTCTCTCTCTCTCTGTCACGAACACACACACACACACACACACACACACACACACACACACACACACACACACATACACACACACACACATATGTCATGCAGTCTGTCTCTGGAACCATTGTTGCAGTGTTGCGGCGAAAGCGTGAGTGTTGTTGGCCTATTCCGCTGTAAGTGTCATGCAATCCCCAAACGTGTGCAAAAGCGGGGTTCCTTGTGTCTGTGTCCTCCATATTGCATTGCATTTTGCACCATGCGTTCCACATACAATCGTGATGGGTCGATTCTGATGTGGCGGCTATGTATTAACACGTTGTTCTTGTTTTCCGTCGTAAGAGACACCCGGTTCCCAGCCGTGTTCAGAGATTGTGTATGTGTATGTGTGTGTGTGTGTGTGTGTGTGTGTGTGTGTGTGTGTGTGTGT